AGTAGCTGGGACTACAGGCGCCCGCCACAACACCTGGCCATTTTTTGGTTGCAGCCATTATTGTTGTTTGGCGGGTCTGGGCTGGGGATTCAAACCCGCCACCTTAGGTGTATGTGGCTGGCGCCTTAGCCGCGCCGAGGCCATTTTATATTTCTCTAATTCTAGCTCTGTTTCTAACCTCTCCAGAAAACTTCAAAAGCCTCTTCAGTAGATTTCACTTCTACTTCTGTACATCCTGAAACATACATGTTATGGTTCTTATCTTCACGAAGCAATTTAGATTGTGGAGGTCTATGAAAAAGAAAAAATGATTAGTTTCCTAAATTATGCGATACTAATGTCTTCACTTAACACTGAGACTAAAATACCAGATGACAATACTGTCATTCTTATAATGAAAATATGCTTACATAAGACCCCAGAGAAATACTAAACTTGAATGAGATTTATATACAGTCAAGATTAGTTATATAACAAGATAAAAGGGACCAGTGTTTTTTTAAAAGCTTTACTCTAATTTGCTCTAACAAAGCACATGAGACAACACTAAGTAATTAGAGACCAAAGTAATACTACAGCAACACTGCATGCACAGGTTAAGCATCAAAATCTAGTGTTTTCCTAATTTTAAAGGATCAGCAGATAGAACTGGTTCTGACCTTTTCAGCAATAGCAGAAAACAAATTCAGAAAGAGTTTGGTGTATACCAGGAGTGGCAATCCTTTCAATGTGGCTTGTCTCAGGTTTTAGCCTGTATGGTGGGATGAAGGCAGGGCAAGGGTGCTAGCTATTTGTGCTTAGTCTTATGAATGGTGAGGGTATTTACCAGCCACCATCACTGACAGTCAACGGCAGATTTTTCAGGAAGCAAGGCGGGCCTAGAGTGGCAGCCCGTCTAATGCCAATGGAAAACAACCTGCATACAAACATGCCACAGAATGCCAACCACTAGTATAACTGCACCATTCTCTTTAAGAAAAGAGTCAACAACATCACCACATACACAAAATCTGTGTTCCTCATGGGTGTGCTGCAACTGTTCCACCTACCAAAGGAATAAAGTAGACGTTACCGTTTCTGTAACAGCTATCTCACAACAACATGTTTAGTCCAGACCATGTGACAGTCACAATGAGCTGTCTTAAAAATCTTCCATGTGTAATAATTTTTCATTGTGTGAAAAAGCACTTAAAGTTAACTAGCTCAAAAAAGCATGTCTAATACTACCCTCACAAATTAAATCTGAATTTAGTGCCAAAGTAGCATGCTTACATATTCATTTAAAGAGTTAATCAGTAAGGTTACAAAGGCACACAAGTCACTTAAGCTGGTTTTCCTTTGTCTAACTAGGTAAGATCCTTCCAAAATAATTTCACTTAGAACAAACCAAACAAAAATTTGGCACATGCGTAGACATGAAACTTATTAGTAGCAACGTAATAATGAATAAAATCACAAAAGTTGCTGGGTGAGGTGGGGTGGATTACTTGAGCTCTGAGTTCAAGACCAGCCCAAGAGTGAGACCTCGTCTCTACTAAAAATAGAAAAACTGAGGCAAGAGAATCACTTGAGCCCAAGTTGGAGGTTGCTGTGAGCTATGATGCCAAGCACTCTACCCAGGGCAACAGCTTGAGACTGTCTCAAAAAAATAAATAAATAAAAATAAAATCACAAAAGTTTACGAAAATATCTACAGAACAACTGACACTTTGAAATAAATGAAAAAGTAATTAGTTTGATAGAAAAAGCAACTGTTTTGTAAAGTCTTTAACCAGAGCAGTTCTTTCTTTCTTTTTTGAGACAGAGCCTCAAGCTAACCCACTGGGTAGAGTGCTGTGGCATCACAGCTCACAGCAACCTCCAACTCCTGGGCTCAAGCCAGTCTCCTGCCTCTGCCTCCCAAGTAGCTGGGACCACAGGCGCCCGCCACAACACCTGGCTATTTTTTGGTTGCAGTCATCATTGTTGTTTGGCAGCCCCGGGCTGGATTCGAACCTGCCACCTTGGGTTTATGTGGCTGGCACCTTAGCCACTTGAGCCACAGGCGCCGAGCCGAGTAGTTCTTTCTTAACACAATATTCCAAGGGTAAATAAAAATATGTCACTCCAGAAATAAGGCACTCTGTAAAATCCTCATTTGAGAAAGGGTTAAGTAAAGCAAAAGAAGCAAAAGAGTCTTCCTTCGCATAAACTTCTAGAATTAATACTTTTACATTTAGCTCATTTAGCAACTTTGTAATTGTTTGCCAATCAATGCAGATCAAAATTCAAGGACTCTGAATGAAGATACCTACATCAAAATATAACTCAGTAAAAACCACAGAAATACTTATGTAATCTAATAGAGTCCATAAATTTTCTATGTAAATAAAAGCAGATATGATGACACCTATTTTCAATCTAACGGTTTTATAAATCCAGTTGTTTGTCCAATAATATTCCTTAAGACATACATACAAAGTTAAACTTAAGACACACATTGGCCAGGCATGGTGGCTCATGCCTGTAATCCTAGCTAGCACTTTGAGAGGCCAAGGTTGGAAGACTACTTGAGGCCAGGAATTCAAGACTAGCTCAGAGTGACACCCTGTCACTACAAAATAGGGAAATTAGCGGAAGGCACCCAAAGTCCCAACTACTTGGGGGGCTGAGGAAGCAGGACTGTTTGAGCTCAGGAGTTTGAATATGATATAACACCACTGCACTCTAGCCCAACTGACATAACAAGATGCTGTCTAAAAAAAAAAAAAAAAAAAACATATCTTCATATTATTTACCTCCTGAAGGGCTCTAAAAAAGACAAGCCTTTAGCTTACCTACAGAACCATCAACTCAGGAATGTTATAGTACAAAAGGTCAGAGTGTTTTTTGTAAAGATAATAGCTCTAGGCTACATTCTGTTGAGATCACCAAGATGCAGGTGATTGAAGAAATTATAAAACTCCCCACACTGAGTCTCAGGTTCTGGAAAAGTAGCCCCAGAGTACATCAACAGGGAAACTTCCTAACATAATTAATTAAGGTGCTTCTCAAAATAGGGCCAAGAGTTTTCAAAAATAATCTCTAAGATGAATATTCAGGTCCCTCTTCTCCTTAGATGCTTTAACCCACTAATTCCCTAATACAGTTACATATCTAGTTAATAATAAAAGTACCCTATGAGCACCAACTACATGACATACAAGTTATAACATTTCATTCTGGAAACAAAATACAAGCATTATTCCTATTTACAGCTGAAGAAACTAAGGTTCACTGAGGCAAAGTACCTTCCCCAAGATTAATAGCTAAGAAGGGGCTCTCTTCACTACTTACTTGGGTTTTATGGGATCAAATGGCACTTCCTCCAATAGATCATATATGTAATTATTATATATTTCAATATAAGAGACAAATACACCATAGACACTATCTTCATCAACCTCTCCTGCTTTGCAGAATTCTTGTACTGTTATCATATCTGCAAACTCTGGATCTACTTGTCGTCTAAAAGAAAAAACAAAAACCAAAGAAGTCCGATTTTAAACATGGTGACAAATAGCAAATGTAATTTATCCCAAGGGGAAACTGAAAGATATAGCATAAATGATACACTATTACAGGCAGAAACACACAATGCAACTTTATTCATATTCCTCAACAACAGTATCCCCATCTCTTTCCAGGTACACAACAAAGGTTGTTACACTCACTCTTCACCCAGAGTGGCACCTCCCTTCTCAAAACAGCAATTCAAACACAATGTGTTCAAAACCAAAGACAATATCTGAGCAAATAATTTAAGAACATTCCTCATCTTTAACAAAACTCAACTGTCAGATCAATTTGTCTACTTAATGTTCCCTATGCCTGGGCAACCCAGAGGACAGAATCCCATGCCCTAGGTTGATGGCATTCAGAGTTAATGACTTACTTGCTTGAGGGAGTCTTTGGAATAGACATGGCTTCTCTTTTCTGGCGTTCTAGTAAGGCATCAACCTCACACTGGATCTCCATACTGTTTCTATCATTAGATTTAAAAACCTGAAGTGGGAGCAAAAATCAGACTATGGTTTTTAAAGTTTTACCTAAATAGTAAAAATGATGTTTAAGAAATAAGAGACATTTAATATTTAAACATATTTAAGGTTTCAGAATGAACAAAATGCTTTGGGTCTTCCTTAAATACTAGTATAGCCATGGGCACCTTAGTTCTGTGTCCACAGTGAAATAGTCAACAACACATAAGGATTTTATACTTACATATCGCTTAGCTTGAAATGACCCTATACTGTTAAAGATCATGTCCAAACAACGAGGAAGCAGCCCTCCTTCCCCTGGAGAACCAGTCATCGTGTGAGTTTTTCCACTTCCCGTCACACCGTACGTAAAAAGAAGACCTACAGTATAGCAAGTCACGTTGAGTTTTATCTTAAAAGTCCTCCATTTGTAATATTTCATTGCATTAAAAAATACTAAAACTTAGCCAGCTTACAAAAAACAGGTTTAACATCATTCTATCAAATTAAATATGCACTAAGTGGCCAACATAAAACCAAATACATAAATATCAAAAATTTTATTATCAGAAATAGAAAAAAAGGCAAATTCAACAAAAGTCTAAAAATCATACCATTTTTGCCATGAATGAGGTCCTCTACCAGGGGATTAGCCACAACATCAAAGAGCTCCTTCTGGGTAGTATGAGTGCCAAATACTTGTTTAAATGAATACTGAGTCTGTGGACAGTGAAAAAAGTAAAATATGCTTTAGATGGAATTCTACTACCTCTAAGCTAGAAATATACGTGTGTAAACTTAAGATGTTTCTTTATGAACATTTATTTACGATTAAGAGTCTCATGTTAGGGTGGTGCCTGTGGCTCAGTGGACAGGGTGCCAGCCCCATATACAGAGGGTGGCGACTTTGAACCCAGCCCCAGCCAAACTGCAACCAAAAAGTAGTGCGCACTGTGGCAGATGCCTGTAGTTCCAGCTACTCGGGAGCTGAGGCAAGTGAATTGCCTAAGCCCAGGAGTTGGAGGTTGCTGTGAACTGTGATACTACAGTACTGTACTGAGGGCAATAAAGTGAGTCTCTGTGTCAAAAAAAAAAAAAAAAGTCTCATGTTCTACGGACTGAGCTATGAACAGTTAAGATCCAGACCACCCAATAAAAGTATGGATGGTCTTTACAACTGCAACTCTTAAGTTTCTCATTAACTCACTAAAAAATCATGACATACCTAAATTACATCAATTATAAACTGGAAAATACTTTCAATCACAACTACTAAAGAGAATGTAGAAAAGTCTTTAGCCCACTAATGCTTCATAGACTAAGGATGATTTTGTTTTAATTAAGTGACAAGATCAAAGGTATTACACCAATTCATAGTTATATATTTGTGAAAATCTTTAAGCATTACTTCACACACTTCATATGATATTTACTGTTTTCTATTTTTTCTTTATAAAAGTGTCATATACCAGCATATCAGCATAACACTATGTGTTTTCCTTTTCATTTTTTTTTTTGGAGATAGTTTTACTTTGTCACCCTTGGTAGAGTGCCGTAGCGTCATAGCTCATAGCAACCTCAAATTCTTGGGCTCAATCAATTCTCTTGCCTCAGCCTCCCAAGTAGCTGGGATTGCAGGTGCCTGCCACAATGCCGGGCTATTTTTAGAGACAAGGTCTGGCTCTGGCTCATGCTGGTCTCAAACTGTGAGCTCAGGCAATCGACCCACCTCAGCGTTTCAGAGAGCTAGGATCATAGGCATGATAAACCACACTCAGCCAACACTAAGTGTTTTAATGTACTGTACTTTGAAACTAAAAATGAACTACAAATATAAATCTCTTAAATTCTTATATGAAATAAATTTTAAATAAATGACTTTTAATAAAGAATTCTTCAGGCTTGGCGCCCATAGCATAGCAGTTATGGTGTCAGCCACATGCATGGAGGGTGGTGGGTTCGAACCTGGCTCAGACCAGCTAAACAATGACAACTGCAACAACAACAACAAAAAATAGCCAGGTATTGTGGTGGCCGCCTGTAGTCCTAGCTACTTGGTAGGCAAGAGAACCAATTGAGCCCAAGAGTTTGAGGTTGCTATAAGCTGTGATGCCACAGTACTCTACTGAGGGTGACATAATAAGACTCGGTCTCAAAAAAAAAAAAAAGAAAAAAAAGAATACTTCAATTATCAAATTTCTTTCAAAATCCAATTGTTAGAAAGTATGGTCACGGGCGGCGCCTATAGCTCAGGGAGTAGGGTGCCGGCCCCATATACTGAAGGTGATGGGTTCAAGACCCGGCCTTGGTCAAACTCCCACAAAAAAATAGCTGGGCTTTGTGGCGGGCACCTGTAGTCCCAGCTACTCAGGATGCTGAGGCAAGAGAATCACCTAAGCCCAGGAGTTAGAGGTTGCTATGAGCTGTGACGCTACAGCACTCTACCAAGGGCAATAAAGTGAGACTCTGTCTCTTAAAAAAAAAAAAAGTATGGTTACATACCACAAATATTATCAAACACCTTGGAAAATTAGATTGGAATATATAGAAGTAAATTAAAATGTCTTCCTGTTCTATAGTCTTTACATTAAATTCAACCTGGTCAGATATTAATATGACTCTTCAATGTTTTTTAAAATTATCAGTATTGTTCCCCAAAGGAGACATGTATAGATTAGTATTCAACAGCTCAGCGCCTATAGCACAGTGATTACCGTACCAGCCACATACACCGAGAGAGCCGGGTTCGAACCTGGCCCAGGCCAGCTAAATGACAGACAACTGCAACAAAAAATAGCTGGGCATTGTGGTGGGCGCCCATAGTCCCAGCTACTTGGGAGGCTGAGGCAAGAGAATTGCTTAAGCCAAAGAGTTTGAGGTTGCTATGAGCTGTTGCTATGGTTGCTATGATGCCACGGCACTCTACTGAGGGCAACATAGTGAGACTGTCTCAAAAAAAAAAAAGATTAATATTCAAATATATAATAATCAAAATTATAACAGCTGACACCGGACACTGCCTATGTAGTGATTTATTTTGTTAGGACCTCTAATGTAGGTACTATCAGTTATGCTCATTTTATAAGCTGAGAAAACAAAGAAGTTAAATAACTTGTCAAAGACCACAAACCTGCTTCAGCTTTGCTCTCCCTTAGGGGAGTTTTCATTCTAAACCTATAAAACAGCTTACTGTTCACAAAAGAACTGAAAGAATATAGACAGGTAATACTGACCTTTGTTCCTCATGAATAGCTCCCTCCTCTCAAAGTAAAACTGAGGCACAAAGGAAGAACTTACTCAAGCTCCTGGATCTAATTAACATCAAAGCCCTCTTCAGAACAGTGCTCTTTCCATTATATAATGTTGCTTTCCACCAAAAAGCAGTAATAATCTTTACTCCCCACTAAACCTTCTGTTCTCAAATTTTTCTATCAGAGAATAGTGTTCAATGGCTCATTTCTCTGTACAAATTATAAACCAGTTCTCTGTTGTTTAACTCACATGGGTAATTCCATCAATACAAACTGCACATGAGTAAAAGTGGCAATGCATTAAAAATAAAAAAGCTGGGTGACACCTGTAGCTCAGTGGGTAGAGCACCAGCCCCATATACCAAGGGTGGCAGGTTCGAACCCGGCCCTAGCCAAACTGCAATGAAAAATAGCCAGGCATTGTGGCAGGTGCTTGTAGTCCAGTTACTCAGGAGGCTGAGGCAAGAGAATCACCTAAGCCCAGAAGTTGGAGATTGCTGTGAGCTGTGACACCATAGCACTCTATCAACGGCAATAAAGTGAGACTCTGTCTCTAAAAAAAAAGAAAAAGACAAAAAAGAAAAGAAAAAAGCTGTTTTTTCACAACCGATAGTTTGAGAAAAACTGTCTCAGATTAACAATGGGGCTAAGGCTAGGGTGGTGGCAGTGGAGATAAAAATGGAAGAACAGTTTCAAGACGTCCTTAGAAACAGAACTGATAGGATCTTCTATCAAGTTATTAAGTAAGAAATGTCTGATTTCCTTAAGTACTGAGTCAGACAGTTCATCCCTTTGACGTTTCACTATGACATTTCTTGGGTTTTTGTTTTTTTGTTTTGTTTTATTGTGAAGATACATCGTCATTGTTTCAAATGTACATTTCAGCTTATGATTATATTTTCATTTTTTTTTCTTAGAATACTTTTTTGTGAAACCATGGATAAGTCAAACATTTGCATTATTTCTTAATATAAAATTCCATCATAGATGGCTCGGCACCTATAGCTCAACCGGCTAAGGCACCAGCCACGTACACCTAAGGTGGCGGGTTCAAATCCCCAGCCCAGACCCGCCAAACAACAATGATGGCTGCAACCAAAAAATAGCCGGGCATTGTGGCAGGCGCCTGTGGTCCCAGCTACTTGGGAGGCGGAGGCAGGAGACTCGCTTGAGCCCAGGAGTTGGAGGTTGCTGTGAGCTGTAATGCCACGGCACTCTACCCAGGGGGACAGCTGGAGGCACTGTCTCAAAAAAAAAAAAAAAAAAAAAAATTCCATCATAGAACCAATGCAGTATAGATAGCTCAAAATACCAACAAAGTATTTGGGAAGGATGTGGCTAATAATGAATGCACAGTATGATAGTTTGAGAAATTCCGTTCTGGTGATTTTAATCTTGAAAACGAGCCATGTTGGCCACCTGACACCAAGATGAATGATGAACTGAAAGCTACAATGGAAGTGACTGCATCTCAACCTGTGTGAACTAGCAGCAAGGTTTGACATTACTACGTCAACAACATTGAACCATTTGAAACAAATTAACAAGGTAAAGAAGATGAATAGATGGGTTCTGCATGAATTAAATGAACATCAGAAGGGAAATCATCTCAAAGCTCGCCTTTTTTTGCTGTCATGACATGAAATGAACCATTTCGACACCATATTATTATGTGTTGAAAAATGGATTCTTTTTGACAATCACAAGCATATGGGACAATGATTAGATAAAAATAAAGAGCCAAAACAGTCAAAAACCGAATTTTTCATCAGTAAAAGCTAACAGTGTCTAGTTGGTGGCCCAGTGCTGATATTATCGACTATAGCATCCTGAAATCTGGTCTATTGATTACAGAGGATGGCTACTGCAACTAACTGGATGAAATGATGAAGTTGTATGCAGTTAAGCAGCAGAGATTGGTCAATAAAGACAGGTCAGTAGAGACAATCCTCTTGCGAGACAATGCTGTGCACAACAATCCTGCTCAAACTGCTGAAGCAGGACTTGAAAACTCTCTGCCGTCCTTCATATTCATCACACTTTGCAACAACGGCAACCACTTCTGCCAAGCTTTGGATCACTTCTTGCAAGGAAAAATATTCAAGTCTCAAAAAGTTGTGGAAAACACCTTTCACAATTTCACTGTTACTTGCTCTCCAGGCTTCTTCGCTGCTACCATTAAGATGGAAAAACCTGGTGACAACTGTAGCTCAAGTGGCTAAGGCACCAGCCACATCCACCAGAGCTGGCGGGTTCGAATCTGGCCCGGGCCTGCCAAACCATGACAACTACAACCAAAAAATAGAGGGGCATTATGGCAGGCACCTGTAGTCCCAGGTACTCAGAAGGCTAAGGCAAGAGCATCACTTAAGCCCAGGAGTTGGAGATTGCTGTGAGCTGTGAGGCCACAGCACTCTACCCAGGGCAATAGCCTGAGGCTCTGTCTCAAAAAAAAAAAAAAAAAAAAAAAAAAAAGATGGAAAAACCTGGCAGTGCCTGTAGGTCAGTCAGCAGGGTGCTGGCCACAGACACCAAGGGTGAAAGGTTCAAACCCGGCCTGGGCCTGCTAAACAATGACAACTGCAATCAAAAAATAGCTGGGCATTGTAGCTGGTGCCTGTAGTCCCAACTACTGAGAGGCTGAGGCAAGAGATCACTTAAGCCCAAGAGTTGGAGGTTGCTGTGAGCTGTGACACAACAGCACTCTACCCAAGGCAACAGCTTAAGACTCTGTCTCAAAAAAAAAAAAAGATGGAAAAACTGTGTGGATACTTTGGGCATATACTTTAATTAATTGTACTGCTTCTTATCTGAGATATAATAAACTAAACTTTTGATTTAAAATTGGACATTTCATACTTAGTGACCTAATAATAAAGTATATATGAGGAGGAACAAGTGAAAGGTAGGGTCCAAATCATGACAGCAAAAAAGGCAAGCTTTGAGCAACCGTACAGGCGAAGGTGCCATTACCTGAGGAAATGAGGGAAGAAATGATTTAGAGGGAAAACAAGCAAGGACTCCTTTTTGGGCATGTAAAATTTGAGATGCCTATATGGTGTCTGAGCAGAGATATCAAGTGAGTACTTAAATATTTCGAGTTTAGAGCTAGAGAAAAGGTTTAAGACAGAGATAAAAATTCCAAAACTTTACCATATAATCAACATTTAAAGCTATAGAAAAGTACAGAATTAGAGCATAGAGCCCTGGCTATGGCCCAACTCTGTATTTACAGATTGGAAGAAGAGGAAGAGCTAGCAAAATTGGCCAGTGAGTGAATAGAGCAGAGAGAACTGGAGGGGGAGACAGGAGCGTGCTTCCTGAAGGGTGCAGTTGAGAAATAAACTCTAATGTGGGTAAAGGGTATACGTCAAATTCAGCAGCAAAGAGGCCACGGATGGTTTGCTGAAAAGCAATTTCACTGGAATAGTAGCACAACACCGTGTGGATGGAAGCTAGACTTAGAAATGGCAACCAAATTCATTCTCTTCCTTCCCACAGTTCCTCCTCTTTAACACACATAACTTTGCCTTATCTATATGAGTGTTACTTGTTTACCATCTGTCTCAACTAAGTTGTAAACTCCATAAAGGTAATGACTGTGTCTTATTCAAGTTTTTTTTTTTTTTTTTTTTTTTTTTGAGACAGAGCCTCCAGCTGTCCCCCTGGGTAGAGTGCCGTGGCATTACAGCTCACAGCAACCTCCAACTCCTGGGCTCAAGCGAGTCTCCTGCCTCCGCCTCCCAAGTAGCTGGGACCACAGGCGCCCGCCACAACGCCCGGCTATTTTTTGGTTGCAGCCGTCATTGTTGTTTGGCGGGTCCGGGCTGGGGATTCGAACCCGCCACCTTAGGTGTACGTGGCTGGCGCCTTAGCCTGTTGAGCTATAGGCGCCGAGCCTATTCAAGTTTTTTAAACCTCGTTCCATCCCCCCGCCTACTAGCTTAGTGAAACATTTGCTACACCGAACTAAACTCATTATTTTTGAGTTTGCTAAATAGTTTCCTAAAAATAAAAACACTTCATAATGGTCTGGCATGGAGGCTCACGCCTATAATCCTAGCACTCTGGGAGGCCGAGGTAGGTGGATAGCTGGAGCTCATGAGTTGGCGACCAGCCTGAGCAAAAAGCTAGACCCGTCTCTACTAAAAATAGAAAAACTGAGGCAAGAGGATAGCTTGATCCCAGTAGTTGGAGGTTGCTGTGAGCTATGATACCACAGCACTCGACCCAGGGCAACAGCTTGAGACTCTGTCTCAAAAAAAAAAAAAAAAAAGGGGTGGTGGATTCAAACCTGGCCCTGGCCAAATTGCAACAAAAAAATAGCCAGGCGTTGTGGTGGGCGCCTGTAGTTCCAGCTATTCGGGAGGCTGAGGCAAGAGAATTGCCTAAGTCCAGGAGCTTGAGGTTGCTGTGAGCTGTGTGACACCATGGCACTCTACCGAGGGCAACAAAGTAATACTCTGTCTCAAAAAAAAAAAAAAAAAAAGAACTTCATAAGAGGTTGATACAAGTACAGACATCTATTATAAATTATTTTAAAGTCCACAGGGAAACTCTCTGTGTGTATGTATGTACATCTATATAAATAACTGCTTAGCACAATTATGTCATTCCACATTAAATTATCTCTAACATACTCTAAAAAATAGTAAGTATACAGTGGAATAAATTACCTCCAAACCCAATCCTCTAACACCAGTGTACCAGAGATGTCTGTGCATCTCAGAAATCAAAAATACTTTGGATATAAAGGTTATAGTGAAGTAGTAAATAACTCTTCCCAAAAAACTGGGATCACACGTGAACTTTCTTAAATTTAAAAATGTAAAAGCAAAAGCCATTTACAATATATTGAGTAAAAACAACTTGGCTCCAATAGGAATTACCTCCTTATAGTCTCCATTTCGGTTGAGTCTGTAACCCTCAGGAGTATGAAGCTGAACAGTTGTATTATTGATCACTTCTATGCAACACTCCTGATCTGGAAAGCTGAGTGGGCGCACTCTACAGTATACCTGAAAAAACAAGAAGGAATGTAAAGAGCAAAGGTTCACATTTTGCCTGATTTTTCATTTAAGCTTCTCATTCATCCTTCCACAAACGTGTAATCTCTTAACTTAAGAGAAAAAGCTAGAGCTATGACAATGAAAATCTGCTAGTTGAGACCGACAAATGCAAACAGATATATTAGATATGAAAGCATTAAAATACACATAAGATAAAAGGAGCAAATTATACAACTTGTCGTCATTATTATAATGGTATAAAGTCTTGTTCAAGTAAAGTTATACTACTAAAAATAAAAAAAAATCTCGAAAAGCTAACAACATATCACACAATAAAAATTTTAAACTATTAGAGTTCTTTGGAGTTAGATGTCAATTTAAAACTTGTCAGCTTAACCTAATACTTAATATACAAAGAAGTAAAAAGGCTGGGAAGTTTTGAGGGAAAATCTATTCTTCTCTGTACAAAAAACAAGGTTCCCTTGAGTTAGACCTGGACTCCACTGGCAGATTTAAAATACCTTAGAGCAGTGGTTCCAACCTTCCTAGTACCGGATGTATTTTCATTGTTACAAAGGGGTCACAACCCACAGGTTGAGAACTGCTGCCTTAAATCTTTTATTTGATATTTGCTTTTAAAAGCAAGTTCCTAAGCCTGGCTCAGCACCCTTAGCACAGTGATTATGACCATTAGCCACATACAATGAGGCTGGCAGGTTCAAACCCAGCCCGGGCCAGCTAAACAACAATGACAACTACAACCAAAAAATAGCCGGGCGTTGTAGTGGGCACCTGTAGTCCCAGCTACTTGGGAGACTGAGGCAAAACAATCGCTTAAGCCCAAGAGTTGGAGGTTGCTGTGAGCTGTGACACCAGTGCACTCTACTGAGGGCAGCATACTGATAGTCTGTCTCAAAACAAAAAAAGTTCCTAAGACTGAAACTAGTGAAGTATTTGCAATTATGAGTAGGCATTAGCTATGCTATACCATAGTCTTTATGAAATGTGATCCCTAGAAATTTGGGGCTCTCCTCATGATCCATGTCATCAATTACTGTATGCAGGTGAGAAAAAATGCTCACTGCATTGGAGTAGAAAATCTTCCTGCATCCCAAAGAGTATAAACCTGGCTTGGTGCCTGTGGCTCAGGAAGCTAAGGTGCCAGCCACATACACCTGAGCTGGCGGGTTCGAATTTAGCCTGGGCCTGCCAAACAACAATGATGGCTGCAACTAAAAATTAGCCAGGTGTTGTGGCGGGCACCTGTAATTCCAGCTATTAGGGAGGCGGAGGCAGGAAAACCGCTTGAGCCCAGGAGTTGGAGGTTGCTGTGAGCTGTGATGACACAGCACTTTATCTGTCTCAGAAAAAAATAAAATAAAACAAAGAGTATAAACCCAGTTGAAGGTTTTTAGTTATCTAACTTTGCAAATTATAATGAATTATAGAAGGAATGCAAGCAACAACAAAAGACTTCATTTTACTAGACCAATTAATCCTATAGATAAAACAAAATTTCACAGCCAGAACCAGTTTTACACAATTTAGTAAATCCATTTAACTAAATGTATTCTTATTGCACTTTTGCATCTCTTTTTCCTTCCACTCCAAACATATACATAAGATAGAAAAGACTAACATTAGACAGAAAGGACTGAAGAAAGAATAGACACACATACATCCACAGGAGATCTTACCCCAACTGGGTCTTTAAGGTTCGTTTGGGATCCTTTTTTCACTGGAGGTTTCCTGGGTGTTTTAAGCCTCCTGGTCACAGATTAAAAAATAATTTTAGTTTGACTTTAATACAAAAACCTCACCTGTAATTTATACAGACAACCTTCCTGGGAGTTATAAAATTATTACTTAGCCATTCCAAAACACTATATCCCAAATAAAACAAATACTAAATTTCATTAGAGCACAGTGTGTGTGGAACGTGTAACCCAAGAGTAATTAAAATTTGGTGTAGAATACATTTTTGATATAAAATGTACCAAATTACTCTTTAATTAGTTCTATATTCAAAATAGCTTATATATTTTCTTTTTTTTTTTTCTGGAGAGAGTCGCATTATGTCTCCCTCAGTAGAGGGCCGTGCTGTCACAGCTCACAGAACCTCAAACTCTTTGGCTTAAGTGTTTCTCTTGCCTCAGAGCCTCCCAAGTAGCTGGGACTACAGGTGCTGGCCACAATGCCTGGCTATTTTTTTTGTTGTTGTTGTAGTTGTCATTGTTGTTTAATAGACCCAGGCTGGGTTCAAACCTGCCAGCCCCGTGTATGTGGCCAGTGCCCTAGCCACTGAGCTATAGGCACCAAGCCAGAAAATAGCTCACATATTTTCTTGAACAATTTTATACAAGCACTACCTGGCCTAAACAATATGATAATCTACAACACTGTAATAGCCAGGGACTTCAACAAACTACTAACAGAACTGAACAGTTTCTCCATGCAGAAACTAAACAAAGAAACTTTGGAATTAAATACAACTTTAGAACAAATGGGTTTAACAGATATATATACTGAACATTTCGTTCCAATACTACTGAGTATACATTCTTCTTATGGCTCATGAATCATTCTCCAAAATTGACCTTAGGACACAATCAAACCTTAACAAATTTAAAAGAAAAGAAATTATACCTTGCATCTTTACAGAGCACAATGGAGTAACAGTAGAACTCAATTCTAACAGAAATCTTCATTCCCCACACAAAGGCATAGACACTAAACAACCTTTACTGAACAACAGCCAAGTCAAGGAGGAGATAAAGAAGGAAATCACTAGATTCCTAGAACAAAATGACAATGAAGCCACAGCTATCAAAACCTGTGGAATACTACAAAAACAGTCCTAAGAGGAAATTTTATCACATTAAAGGCTCACATCCAGAAAACAGAGCACAAATCAACAATCTAATGAATCAGCACAAGGAACTGGAAAAGGAAAAACAATTCAATCCCAATCAAGCAGAAGAAAATAAATAACCAAAATTAGATAGGAAGTAAATGAAATTAAGAACAATATAGCTATTCAGAAGATTAATGAAATAAAAAGTCAGTTTTTTTAAAAGATAAATAAAACTGATAAACCTTTGACCAGATTAACTAGAAACAGAAAAGCAAGCTCAGCTCGGCGCCTGTGGCTCAAGTGGCTAAGGCGCCAGCCACATACACCTAAGGTGGTGGGTTCGAATCCAGCCTGGACCTGCCAAACAACAATGATGGCTGCAACCAAAAAATAGCTGGGCGTTGTGGTGGGCGCCTGTGGTCCCAGCTGCTTGGGAGGCGGAGGCAGGAGACTCGCTTGAGCCCAGGAGTTGGAGGTTGCTGTGAGCTGTGAAGCCACAGCACTCTACCCAGGGATAGCTTGAGGCTCTGTCTCAAAAAAAAGAAAAGCAAGCTCTCTAAGTTCATTTAGAAATGAAAAAGGACATATTAATAACAGATACTACAAAGATACAAAAGATCTTCACCAAATACTAGAAAAAACTCCATGCCCAGAAATTTGAAAATGTATAAGGGCACATTACTATACAGAATTCACCTACACATTAAAAAAAAAAAATGTTTATCAAGACCAAGTGGGCTTCAGCTCTGGGATGCAAAGCTGGTTTAAATATGCAAAACCATAAACAATTCACTACATAAACAGAAGTAAAACCAAAGATCATTATGATCTCAATAGATACAGAAAAAGCACTTTACAAAATTTAGCATCCTTTTTTGTTAAGAACACTTAAGAAAATTGGCATAGATAGGAAATTTCTTAAACTGATAGAAGACATTTCTGACAAATGAATAGCAAATATCATACTGAATGGAGAAAAACTGAAAAGTATTTCCCCTTAGAACTGGAACCAGACAAGGATGCCTACTATTCAACATACTGCTGGAAGTCTGAGCAATACAGTCAGGCAAAAGAAGGATAGAAGGGTATCCAAATGGGGACAGAGGAGTTCAAACTATCATTCTTTCCTGATGATACAGTCTTATCTGGAGGCATCATGTGACCAAACTTCAGGTTATACTACAAGTCTATGGTGATCAAAACAGCATGCTACTGTTATTAAAAACAGACAAAAGGATCTATGGAACAGAATAGAGAACCTAAAGATAAAACCAGTCTCATAATGCCATCTGATTTTTGATTAAAAAAAAAAAGTATACACTGGGAAAAAGAATCCCTATTTAACAAATGAAACTGGGAGAACTGGGTAGCCATGTGTAAAGACTGAATGTAGACCTCCACCTGTCACCACTTATTAGAATTAACTCACTATAGATAAAAGATTTGAATTGAAAGCCATAAAAACTCTAGAAGAAAGTGCGGAAAAAACTCTTAATGATATCAGCCTTGGGAAAAAATTTATTAAGACTTCAAAGGCAATCACAGCAAAAATAAATGGGATCTCATCAAATTAAAAAGTTTCTGCACAGTAAGGGCACTATCAACAAAGCAAAGAGAGAACTTTCAGAGTGGGAGAAGATATTTTGCATGCTACTAATCTGATAACCACAACCGACAAAGAACTCAAGCAAATCAACAAAAAGAGAGCAAACAACCATATTAAAAACTGGGCAAGAGACATGAACAGAAATTTTTGCAATGAAAATAATTTTATGGTTGGGGGTCACCACAACATGAAGAACTGTATTAAAGGGTCATGGCATTAGGAAGGTTGAGAACCACTGACCTAGATAGATTTGAAGATCACTCTAAGTATTACAGGAATGGAAAAACATGCATTATATGTGCTCAATACTAAATTGAAACTAGTAGATCAAAAACCATGTGCTTATTTGAGAGAAAAACTCAATTAAATTCAAGAAGGGGGTAGGGTTAGGTAAATTCCCACCCAAAGGTAACAGTGCACAAACGTATGGCCCACTTGGGTGAAGGAGACAACTCCAACTAGGACTTTACCTTACAAATAACTTAATCATAACGTGCCCTCACATTGATCTTGAAAAAAAAATCCTTTGTCCTCAAACAAAATGTGATCTCAAATTGCCAATTTCTTGCTCTTGTAAGCAGTAATAAAGGCATTTTGATTGATTTCACCATTTTTCTACCATATAATCTTTTTTCTTCACATTTATGTACAGATGAACATTTGTACATAATGGATGAACATTTAACACATTAGAAATTAAATTACTGGCTTGGATTGTAGACTATTTTTCTCCCAGTTGAGACAAACAAATTAGTCTTAACTGCAAAATACTATTGTGGTAGGTTTACTAAAACTCACTTATCTTTCCTTTATTATAAAGATTTTGACTTTGGCTTCTTAATAAAACAAATACATTTTTACAAACGATTACCTAAATGATAATAGTTATAAGTTAACCATCTTTGCAAGACAAATACTTCTTTACTTAGGAATGCTGTGACCAAAACGTTCCGTCACCGACTTAGTTAGGCTGTGGGCTTGGGGGGTTGTGTATGGGGGCGGGGGCTGTCTCCGGCCAAAGAATAAAACAAAAGTAACTGGCCCATAGAAGGTGATGGTCTCCACCTCAAGGCCACGGTACTGGGCCAGCAAAAGCACGCCGCGCTCACCAAGGCCACCGCTCTCCGAGGACGGAGCACATCTAACCAACCCCCAATTAAGACCACAACACTCGGCTTCACGTGTGAGACGACCCCTGACCAGAGGCCCCTCTTGGACAGCACTAACTCTGCAAAAGGCAATCTGCCGGGCGTGAAAGGAGACCTGAGACAGGGAGGAGGACGGTGTCCTGGAGTCAGGAGGATGACAACCCAGTTAACAGAAACTAGGGTCGCGGCACAAAAACTCCTGGCTCCGGGCCGACCTTTCCTCGGCCACAGGAGACCAGGGCGGGGCGGGGCGGAGGCGCAGCGGGGAGACGCAGAAGGGGTCTCTGAGCCCAGGCCTCCAGCGGAGGGTTCTCCTTCGGGAACCCGGGCGGAGCGGCGCCGGGCGCAGACAGCGTGAGGAGAGACGTCCGCCCTTCAGCCCCCGCGGCCGGTCACCTGCCTCCGCCCGGCCCGCCCGCCCTCCCTGCTCGGCTGCCCCGAACTCACGCTGGTTTCATGGTAGCAGGCTCCGCGCTGCCTATACGCGCGCGCGGGACACCGAGCTCTATCCGGCAGGCTGGCAAAAGACAGCGTGGCCACAGGAACCAGCCGCGGGAACTGAAACTCCGAGGCTCAGGGACCGCACTCCGGAAAGCCGGGCTGAGCCCCTGGGAACCCAGGTGAGCTCGCGCGCGGCGCTTTTCAAACGGACCAATCAGTGTCCACTCGCAGGAAAGGGGCGGGGCCTAAGCGGAAGTGGCTGTTCTGCCGGAAGTGGCCCTCGTCTCCTAGACGACCACGCGGAAAGGGCGGGAGGAGTCTGGGTGGCAGGGCTAGAGGAAAACCTCAGAGGTAAAAATCTGATGAACTAATTCTATCTCATTTCAACCTTTGCCCCTTAGCTGATAACTATCAAATATACATCTACATCTGTGCTTTCATGGAACTCTAGCGCCTTCTCAATTGCCTACAGGACCGTAGACTGGTAAGGATGGTCAGAATTAATATCCTTGTTAGTGTTGAGCCTCAGAAAATGATACCCTAAAGTAAGGCTCTTTGAAATATTGAGTACTTGAACTAAAAGAGATTGGAAATCCTCCCTCCGACGTTCTACCTTTCTCCCGTTCCTAAAGTAAAACATGGAAATCAAAACTCCTCTTCCACAAAGACAGAAATATTGTGCTAACACCCCCCCCCCCCCCCCCCCCCGCTTTCTGTATAGGAGCTGGCTGTAATGAAATTCTCTTATTTACCTTGTCTGGTAGTAGGTCACAAGACTCATTCCTGAGAGAGTCCCAGACAAGGGAATGCTACACAGAAAGGCCAGGAAGAATCTTCAGTGCAGTTCATACTCCACTTGTCCAAACACATTTCTACACAATTGTCCATTCTTCGTCAAATGTAAGTATAAAAATGGGGCAATTTCCCCTGGGTCTTTAGGACTTCGTTTCTGAAGGTTGCCATATCATGTAAAACTTTTTCATGTAAAATCTTGATTTAAGTAAATTTGTTGTGATTCTTTGATCTTGTTTACCTATCTTTTGTTAGAGTAATGTTGGCCATAGCTCATATGTTAGGGTAAGAAAATCTTTTCCACCTCCGCATTGAACATTAGGATGGTTTTGATTTTTGCCAATATTATAAAGATGGCTGCAGTGAATAAACTTGCAAATACATCATTTTATACAATGCAAGCACATATGCAGGATAAATTCCAAGAAGCAGAATTGCTGAGTCAGAGTATATGCACCTATAATGTTCCTCCTATCTTGCCAAATTGTCTTCCATAAAAGCCCAAATGTACACTTTCACCAGCCTATAGAATGTTTGTTTCTCCACAACTTTCAGACAACAAAGTGTTAGACTTTTCACAAGATACCTAATATGTAAAAAAAATAAAAATCATGCTGTAGTTTATCTTTTCATTTCTTTTATGATAAGGTTGGATGTTTATTATATTTAAGAATTGTTTGTATTTTCTTCCCTATGAACTATGTTCAGAGTCCTTGTTTCATTGTTTTATCGGGATGTTAGTTTTTCTTATTGATTTATAAAAGCTTTTCTTATATTAAAAAAACTAATCCTCATCCAAAATATGAGTTCAAATGTTTTCTAGTTCATATTTTAGTTCTTCTTATCATTTGTTTGGTGACAGCTTAGAAAAAAAATTCTGTCTCAGTCTTTTCTTGTATGGCTTCTGTTTTGTGTTCTAGGAAAAGTCTTACCCACTGAGGTTGGTTGGTTTGTTTTAGTTTCCCATGTTTTTTCCCCAGTGCTTCTATTACTTGGCTTTTTATGTTGAAGCTTTTGAGCCATTGAGTCAAGCAAGAGTTTGGGATCTGTACCATTTAGGAATCAGGCTTGGTTGCTCACTACTTACCTCCTACTTGCTGTCCATCTGGCTTCTGCCTCAGGCTCTCTATTAGAACTCTTTGTCACCAAGGTCACCACCTCCTTAATGCTAAATCTAATTGGCCCTTCCCCACCCTTGCCTTACTTTACCTCTCAACATCACCAAAAAAACGGTTGCCAGTTCCTCTCTTTCCATGCCTTTATTTTTTCTCCTAGATCTCTAGCCCCACTTTCTGAATCTCTTTTGGGGGTCTTTTTTCCTCTTTTAAATGTTGTGGCTCAGTTTTCACTTGCTCACTAGCTGTGCCTTCTCATGCACTCTCAAGCACTCCCATGACTTCACATCCCATTCCCATTTGCTCTTCTGAGCTCCAGACCTATGTATGAAATTGCCTTCCAAATTCTCCACTTGGATGTCTCACAGATACCTCACATCTAACACATTCTAATCTTTTCAAACCTGCTTCTCCTCAATGTATGGCATCACCTAAGCCAGAGTCACTCTGAGGCACCATCTTTGGCTTTTGCCTCTCCGTCTGTTCCAACATTCAATCACTACCTCTTAACAGTTCTACTTACTAAATAGCTTTCAAGACTCTCCACTTCTCTTTATCCCATTGGCCATAATCTTCCCTCATCTGGATGCCTATAACATTGTCCTAACAGGCTTCCTTGCTGCCACCCTCTAATCTAGTTTCCATTTTGCAGCCAGCTCACCCCTAAATCACAAGTCTGGTCTTGTCACTCCCCTGTGTGAAACTCTGTGGTGGCTACTCATTGCTTGAGACCCTCCACAGGGCCCTGAGGTGCTTTCTTTCCAGGCTCATCACACATCACTGCCTTCTGTGCCCACTAGCCATGTTCACCTGCAGTGCCCTGAACACACTGGGCTTAACATCCCATTCTCTCTGCCATCAGTCTCCTCCCTCCTTTTCTCTAACAATGCCTCATCTTCAGTTCCCAGCAGATTTATCAACTATCCTGCTCTGGATATTGGACCCCCCTAAGCGCACACTGCTGCCCTCCCCCACTCACTGCACCTATTAATTTGCTTCAGCGCTCACATCCCAGTCTACAGCCACTATTTACTCCTGTCCCCTCTGTCAGCTTATCCCCACAGCCTCACTAGATGGCATTGTTGCATGCCTAGTGCCTAGCAGAGTAGGTGCTCCATACATGTTTTGGAGAAATGAATGAGTCCCTCCTTTCAAAGAACAGCCCATGGCCAGCAAAAGATTTGCATTTTCTCCTAGAATTAGAAATACAAACCAGAGGTGAGGGGAGAAGAGGGGGAAGAAGTAGAATGTTATCTTTTTTCTTTTAAAGTCAGGTTCTTGAGGTACAACTTACACAGAGCAAAATTCACCCAATGTAGTTGTATCATTCCGTATATTTGATAAATATGCCCCATCCTCTGGCAACCTCCATAATCAAATGTGTATTTCTATTACACAGAAAACCCCCTTATGTTGCCCCTCTGTAGTCAGTCACCTTCCCCTAGTCCTACGTCTTGGCTACCACTTCTGTGATTTCCCTCCTTATAATTTTGCCTTTTCCAGAATATCTCTTCTTTCACTGCACATAGAGCTTTCAGATCCATCCAAGTATTGCACATACCAGTAATTTGATCCCCCTATTCTACTAGATAAATGCAGGACAATTTATCATTCACTAGTTGAGACTTAGGTTGTTTCCACTTTTTGGCAATTATGAATAAAACTGGTGTACTTGCTTGTGTAAAGGTCTTTATGTAGATGTGTTTTTATTACTTTTGGGTGGGATTGTGGGTCTTGTGTGACAAGTTTTACTTTATTAGAAACTGCCCAACTGGAGTAGCCAGGGGCTTACGAAAATCACTGAAGAGGGGTTGACACTACACAGATTTGAAATCATATGTTTAGCCAAACACCCAGATAAGCAAGTCCAGCTGTGAGAACCCAGTGAACACCAATGACCAGAAACTTCTCAAGCTCCGAGTGTTTAAGGGAAGGCAGTGAAATAGAAACAGGAAGCTGAGACACACTCCACACGCCTTGTTCCCTCCGTGGCCCTGCTGGCCACTCAGTGGCCTTGCAAACATTATCGCACATCCCCAGGCCATGTGAATGTCTCTCCCCAGTTATTTGTATTGTAAAATGAAAGGTTGGATGTTGATATTTCACGTACTCAAAACACAAATTAATAAAATTAACCAGGTTGGAAGAAGGCTGTAAAATTCACAGAAAAAGAAAAAAGTGATCTGAATTATATTTCAAAAGAATAGCAAACTCACTGAGCAAGGGGGAAGAAACTAACCCCAGTAATTTTGGCTATTTAGACTCAGGCTTGCTGTCAGGCTCAAACAAAAAGCACTTGAAAGAGATTGAATTCTAATTACCAGGCTGCTTTTCCCCACATTCTGTAACGGAATATTACTCTGAAACATTCTGTGCATCTGAGGATTGAGCACCTAAGTAAATATATTGTGGCCAATAAGAGCCAGGTTCTCACTGTTGGAGAAGGAAGTTATGAATATTGAAAGAGGGAAGCGTGAAAAGTACCTGGGCATTTTTGGTACTATTTTGTAAAATTTTTCTAAGTCTGAAATTTTATTTTATTTT